TGCCCACGACCTCGCATGAAGAAAACAAGCGGATTTCGGCTGGACACGACCTCCTGCCCGCCTGAGCAATGTGAAGCTTGACATCTGGGGCGGTTCAGGATGTATGGTTTTGGGCTTAGGGTTGGGAGCGATTTCAGGATGTCATGCATGCTTCAGAAGACGACATCCATTGTTAATTCCCTCCCCTATCAAAAAACAGTATTTCGCGAGGCTTGAAGTTTTGCGGCGGGGCTCTCGGTCCAGCAAGACACTACTCAAAACGCGTGACATCATGAAAGCCTACCTGGGTGGTGCGTACCTTGGCCCGCAACAATATCTATGAATCCGTCCCTTTATACACAATAGGGGAAACTGGAACCGTACCCAAAGTGCCGTAGCCATTATCACAAGACCAAGACTGCTGTGAAAGGAGAATAGGGTAATATCTAACACTATTTGGGCGGATGCATCCGGGCTGAATGCGAACTAAGGGGGGTAGACAGAGTTGGTTTCTTCTTTGAAGTCTATGAATAATGAAAGCCATTGACTTCAAAAAGCTTACATGAAGTAAAATCTAAGCACATCCAACGTAAATCACGTTAGAATTAGGCAGGTACTTTGATTTCCTACTGTGTACTTATTGTCGGTAGGGCTTTCAAATTCAAAGCGGCCTGATTAGATAGCTGATGCCCTAAACTTGTAGGTAGCTGTAGTAGAAGCATCCGCGGCAACAACTGCCACTTGGAGCTTCATGGGACTGATCACAGTAAGTGCTCTGCCCGAGTTCTAACAATACTTATAGTTGGAGGTAGGCCCTATGAAGCCACAGAAAATTAGTATAAGTAGGGTCTAGATGTGAGCTGCTGTCAATTTCCCCATATTGATTAGTAGGCATGGGTCCCTGTTAGGGCATACATTAGGGACAGTACTAAACTACCAAAGCCCACCCTAAACGCCCCAGTAGCTCATAGAATCTCCCGCTTTGATTAATTTTCCATGTCTTTTCCATTTGATGCTCCATTGCTGGGCTGAAGCATCTCTATGTACCCCTATAACCCCTACAACCCCTTTAAAGCAGCTCATCTGAGTAGCTGGTGCCCCTCGGCTTCACATGAGCCATTGTCTAAACTCCTAGTATCCCTCTTAAGAACCTCTATAATACTCGCCTATATAGTCCCCCCCTATATATAATCATGCTGGTTTAGACCCTAAACCCTAAGCCCTACATAATTAATCCCCTTCTTTATAACCCCGCTTTACGGAGTCTCGACCATGTAGCTCATATGCTGTTAAGGCGCGTTCGATTCCCGTGAGGAGCTTGCTCTCCAGCGTCTAGGTTGAGGGTTTAGGATTTAGGATTTAGGGTTGAGGGTTTAGGGTCTAGGCTTCGAAGGGGCAATGCCTAGAACCTCCAACGTGGTACCTTTTGGGAACTCTAAAGCTCCTAAACCTCCAATGTAGTAATTTTTGGGAACTCTAAAGATTCTAATCAAAATTTCGTGCCCCTAAACCCTAAACCGCCGAAACCTACAAGGGACTATATCGGAGGGTCCAGGTGGGCAACATTGAGGCACACCTTCGTGGGGGTAGGTCGGGTGTAGCCGGCAACACGAAATGTTGGTACTTGGGGGTGGTAGGTGGGGGTTTCCAGAAATTAAAGGTTTCAGGTTTAGGGTTTAGGGTTGGGGGTTTCCAGAAATCATGGGGGCTCCTATAGCCCCCCTATTATAGAAGGACAACAGTACTGGTGGGGCATATTATGGGGTCTCCCTATTCTGGGAAACTACCATGTGTCGGCGGTATGCCGCGGGCTATGTTTCATAAGAACCCAGGTCTTGCTTGAAGGTATTCCTAGTGGTCCAAAGACTTAATTCATGGGGTTTTAGGGCCGAGGGCCCCAGTTCTATGACCTGAATGGGATTTGGGACCTGAAGCCCTAATCTTTGGGTCCTTGGACCCTTAGAGTATCTTGAGGGTATGTTCCGGCACGTGCATCAGGATCCGCAGCGTGCTATGGTTCGGAGTGCGTGTAGGCGTGGTCAAGCGTGCCTCTTTACTTATATTTGGGCTCTTGACTACATATTATTGGAAGGACCCAGACGGCAAGGGTATTCTGGCTGACTTGCAGTCCGGTTTCCGACCTCTTTGATGCGACAAGCTTTGGCTACAACCTTTTGAGTTTAGGGTCTAGGTTGTCTTGCTTTTCTTCTCGGGGTTGGCTTACGCATTCCGATGCTTTCTTGCAACTCTCGGTGATGAACTGGTGATGAACATCATGCTTCCCCTAGGGATCCAGCTAGCCCAATGTAATCAATATTTACAGACTTTAGGGACCAATGTAGGTATTATTTGCGTACTTGGATCCCTAGGGTTCATGCTGAGCTTGAATATGACGACTGCAGAATCTTGGGCCTTGTTTGCGATCCCCATCTTGTCAAAGCATAGGATTTAACATCAGGCCCGTCGGGCCCAAAAGCTACCCTAATATCCTATGATATTCTGTAATATACCCTAATATACCACAATATACCACAATATGCCATAGGCCATAATATACGATAATATACCAGAATCTACTATAATATACTCTATTATATTAATTTAGGGTTTAGGGGATACCTTAGTATAACACAATATACCATAATATACGACAATATTCCAGAAGACCTCCGCAGTCTTAATTAAGCTTTATCCGACTGCTGCCAGGTCACCTTCCGCTCACCTCATTTTGGGGATTTTGGTTGGGCTCATCTCCCCAAAAAAAAGTGGGGGGGGGTGGGGTAAGCATGTTGAAACACCATGTCCGGTCGTAAAAGGATTGGATCAACTTGTCATGTATATGCAGAGAAGTGGGGTCGAAATGTTGATTCAAGGTTTACATGAGTTTACATGGAGGCTGTCGGGCGTGCCGATCTGAGTATTGGCATCAGTACGGTCGAGTGCTCCGAACACCCTGGAGCAACATCGTCAGCAGCTACGACGAAGTCCGGGCGTATAAAATCCAGGGATCCATCCCCTGGCCCTTTCGAACTGAAACCCCGTTGAGATGCAATCCAGCCACTTTCATACGTCACCAACAGTGAAGAAGTTGGTCCTCCACACCTGTAGCTTTCGTATATTCAGGTCTCTTGCGATCAGTGTATGGTTCAGGGGTTACTTGGAGGGCCGCCCTGGTTATATCTAGATGCACCACATACTATCTAGATGTCATACTTATTATCTAAATGTTCCACTTAGCTGTCGCACTTATAACTGGAGTTGGGAGACTTAGAAACGTCTGCGCCGGTCGGACTTATAAGTGCAGCTGCGGGAGTTAGATCTAAGTAGGCCAAGTGGGTCAGGTTCCGCTTGTTCCACTTAGCATAAGTGGGTCAAGTTCCACTTATAAGTCCGACGGACGCCCAATTCAAAAGCTGATTTTGAGAGTTGTAAAAGCTGATTTTCAGGGTTGTAACTCCGGATGGCCATTATACTTTGTGCGGGCAACCGCCAAATGCACCACGATACGTGGCCAAAATGCGTGAACCAAAAAATGTGGAAAATCGCTGAAAAATAACATTTCTTGCGACATTCGGGGCGCGCATCAGACGTCGTCTCAAAAAAACATCACAAATGAAACTATGTGGATTCAAAACTGATTGATGGCCAACTTTACTTTATGCACTCAGCTTGTTTCAAACAATGCTTGACGAGAAGCTTCATTAAAAAAACGGTGACACATCAGTGCAAAATTTCTCACTCATATTTCGTCCATTCACATTATGCATCCAAGTATCCCCCTCGAACCATATATGTATATATACACACGAGACCATTTAAAGAAATTTGCAACTCTGTAAATCCGTTTTATACACTGGAACCTGCTCTTGAAGCCTAAGCTCACAAGCCTTCTATACCGTTACAAACATGGTTGCCCTGTGAACCCTATAACCCTGCAAAAACGCATGCCCCAGTGTATAAAGTTGTTTTGAATTTTTCAGAACCTTATGAAAACCAAAAGTCTATAGCCCCATATGCCCTATAGCGTTAACAACGCGGTTGCCTTTCAAACCCTGTACACCTGTATACCCCTATATACACAAACCTTGTGTAACCCTATGTAAGCTATATAGACGTATAAAGGAAATCCACATATCCCAAGCCACCTATGCAGAAACCTTATAAACCCTAAAACTCCTGTAAAACGTACATACATACAATAAATAAAACCTATATAACCCGAAACCACGCAACGCCATGTCCATGAAGATGCAATCCACCGTGGAGCTGGCCACCTCCGACAAAGATTCTATACATAAAACTTGGTATCCAATAGTTATGGGCTGGAAGAAGTACAAGGGCTATAGTGACACAGGCAGGTTCGAGGTTTTTGGGTAGGAGTATAAGGGTATATTCGAAAAAATATATATGGCTTTTATCCCAAATAAAGGCAGACTAGTTTTGAGGATTTAGCATTGTAAACAACTACACATGAGAAGACAACTGTGTTCTACGAGCTCATGAGGCAAAGTTATTATGGGCGCAGGGGGGAAGTTACAAAACCAGAACTACGAGTCTTGCATAGGCGAAAATGCACAGTTGAGGGTATAGGATTTACGGTTTATGGGTTTGAGTTTCGGGGGTGTATACGCTACATGAAACCTGCTCATGGCAACAAATGATTTAGGTTGTCAGCCAAAGCCATCCTGAAAAACACGTTCAACTTACATAGAAGTTCTTTATTGACAATGGGTGTAACACCGGAAAGATGTAGGTTCCGCGACTGTATTATAAAACCTCACTTCCTGCACAAGCGCTGCACGTAAGGCTGATTTAAGCTGTAGACCTGTAGCGCTGCAGCAATTAACAACACGCACCTGCTGCACATGGCCCTATTTTCAAGGACATTGCACGAAAGATGTCCAGCTGGATGCCTGTGCGAGAACAAAATGTTCCCTGCACAGCTTCGCGCGAGGAGGATCCCCTGCGCAAATTTCCTTTCCGAAACTTAAGGACTCAAAGCCGCGGGGGTGAAGATTTGCTCAAAACATGCTTCGGAGTGGGATAACCAGAGAAATATTGGGATTGTCATTCTCGGGTCTGTGGATGCAAAGCCGCTTGATGCTGGATGTGGGCACGAACAGGGCCCCCTCTTCATGGGAGAAGCGGTTTCTGGCATCTCTCTGCCTTGTCCACGGCGAGAAACAGGTGTACAAATAACCAGCCTGCGAAACATGAAACCATGCCTGCCCCACGTGGCTAGCATTTTCCATCTCCACCACAATGATGTCCCCACGTTTGCACGTTCTGCCAGATCCAAAATAGGCGGTGTCGGAGATCTCCAGACCAGGGGCCCGAGCGCGTCCAAAGGCTGCGCAAAACACGCGCGCCACTTCCTGGGCAGCAGGTCGCGGCTTCAACAAGCCTTCGCGGCGAGCATCAAAGTCTTCGAGAACTTCCAGATGGTGCTCCACCGAGAGCTCCATTACGTTTTTCTCGGACCCAGCGGTCATGGACGTCTGTTGGTTGGCGTAACGTTTGAGCTCTTTGTGGCGCCGCTCATGAACAAAACAGGACAAGAGCACGCCGTGGCGATCCAGTATCTCTGGCAGGTGGACGTTGAAGTGCCCTTTGGGCGGAAGATGCTCTGCTCCATACACCGTCTTGAAGCTGCGGAGATGGCCGAGAATTGCTTCCCGGAGGTCATTGCTGCGGAGGGTGCCAGATGCAGCGTGCGACAGCAAATCTAAAGTCTCGCACAGGCGATAAAAGCACTGTGCGGCCAGGAGCATGCGGCGGCTCGAAAAGCCAGGCTGCAGCTCCTCCAGAAACCCACGCAGCACAGGGTAACAGGCCAGTGCCTCCGAAGCCCCACACTTGAAGTCGCCAGCCTTGCGAAAAAGAGTCTTCGCGTGCACCGACTTACCTCCAGTGTAGCTGGGCCAGCAGCAGGCGTTGACGAAGTCGTGCCTTTCGCACCCCCATGCTGTCAAACATTGGTTTACAATATTTTCAACCCATATAACCTTTTAACAAAAACGTGCGCGTCCAATCTCTTAGCCCTAAAAATTGAAGGGTTATATAGCCTTCTACAGTACAATGTGATGATATTAGCCTAGATCACGATTAGGAGTTGGATAGTCACGTTCTGGAAGCAACGAAGAAAGTGCAACCGCTGCATGTGTGCAAGTCTTGCTTCTAGGTTGCACGTGGGAGGACTCCACACGTTCAGTCTTCAACTCCTTCAGCAGGAGGTTGACCTCCACATGGAACACGCCGCTTACCACATAATTGTGCATCCAATCGTAGCTGGTCCAGCTGATCGGAAAAACTACCTCCCGAAGGGTGGGGTCAAACAAGACGCCTTCTGGACTGTATCGCATGCCTAGGCTGGTCTGGCGAGAGGCAAAGGCAGCTTTGGACAGTTCCGTGCTCTTCTGCGTCAGGTCGCGCGCAGTTGCCCAGAGGCCAGCGTTAGTTTGCAGCTTGAACTTTGATGGATCCTCTTCACAGTGGTCGACGAACCAACCGGTCTCGTCGGCCTCCACCAAGCCCGACCTTGTTTGGACTACGTTCCGGCAAAAGAAGCAGAGACGTAGTCCAGAAGCACCCATGGGCTCCCACGTTTGCTTGATGGCCGCTTCATCGGCGATGAACATTCCTTCATAGAAAGGTCTAGAGAAAGCCGGGGGCTTATAAGTGTATAAACGGGCTTATAAAATAGTTTCCGCACGTAACAAAACCAAAAAGTACAAAAGGAAGCATTGTCTCCAACCCTTGCGCAAATCATGAGCGGCGGACCCTCAATGCCAGGAACTGGTAGGCCGTCTCTAAGGCAACGTCCTTCTTCCC